GCGGACTTTCTTGGTGCTTACAACCTACTCGTAGATATGGGGAAAAAGAAACTAATCGACAAAAACACAAGCTTACAGGTCAGTGGCACAACTATCTCCAGTTACGAAATTCATGGAGTCCGTATGTTAAGACCTGAAAACAAAATTTTCACCGATATCCTGTCGAGGTATGAAAGTATAACCAGAGCTGATTATCAAAGCGAACACTCCAGACATCATGTTCAACACAGTATTACTACTACAGGACCGCCCATTCGCGCCAGGGCGAGAAGACTCCCTCCAAACAAGTTGCAGTTCGCTAAGAGAGAATTCGAACACATGATGCAACTTGGAATAATCAGACAATCTAACAGTCCTTGTGCCTCGCCGCTGCATATGGTTCCCAAGAAAGGTCAAGACTGGCGCCCATGTGGAGATTATCGCCGATTGAATAACCAGACTATCCCAGACCGGTATCCGATCCCTCATCTGCATGAATTTTCTTTAAATCTACATGGAAAACAGATTTTTTCAAAGTTAGATCTAGTCCGAGCATACCATCAAATACCGATGGCACCTGAGGATATCGAGAAAACAGCCGTAATCACACCTTTTGGCTTGTTTGAATTCTTGAGGATGCCTTTCGGACTAAAAAACGCCGCTCAAACCTTTCAGAGATTTATGGACGAAGTAACTAGAGGTTTAGATTTTGTATTTGTCTATATCGACGATGTTTTAATCGCTAGTTCTTCCACTGAAGAACATGTTCAGCACTTACACACGCTTTTTGAACGTTTCAAAAGTTATGGTGTTGTAATCAACCCTTCGAAGTGTATATTTGGCGCCTCATCTCTGGAATTCCTGGGACACCACATTGATTCCCAAGGAATTAAACCGCTTGAAGATAAAGTCACAGCCATCACCAGCTATCCAGAACCAACCTCAGTAAAATCACTGCGTCGTTTTCTTGGAACATGCAATTTTTATCGACGATTTCTACCAAATTGTGCCGATGTACTACAGCCATTGACAGATTTACTGAAAAACGATAAATCAGGTACCAAGATAGAAAAGAACCAAATATTCAAGTTACCTTCCGATGCCAAAGTAGCATTTGAAAAAGCTAAATCCATGATTGCTAATGCTACCATGCTCCAACACCTAAATACTGACCCCACAACACTGTTGATCCTATGCACGGAAGCTTCACAAAAAGCCGTAGGGGCAGTATTACAACAGCGGGTAAACAACACGATTACCCCCATTGCCTTTTTCTCCAAGAGATTATCGCCAGCACAAGAACGTTATAGTACTTTTGGACGCGAACTCTTAGCTATGTATTTAGCAGTAAAGCATTTCAACGTTTTGCTACAGGGTCGTGATTTCATCATTATGACAGATCACAAACCCCTTTGCCATTCTTTTAGCACATCGTATGACAAACATTCCCCACAAGAAGCAAGACAACTTGATTATATCTCCCAATTTACCACAGACATCAGGTTTATCAAAGGTCACACGAACATTGTTGCAGATGCACTATCTAGGAGGGATATCAATACGATGGTACTCAATCATGGCATCAGCCTTGAAACCTTGGCTAAGTTACAAGCAGACGATGCAGAATTAAAAGCCTGCAAAGAAAAGTCTAGCTTAGATCTCAAACCTGTACCAATTCCTCTTTCAGATGCATTTATCATGTGCGACACTTCAACAGGCAACAATCGTCCGTTTGTCCCACACGCTTGCCGACGAAAAATATTTCAGCACTTGCACGGCCTTTCACATCCAGGCATCAGAGCAACAACAAAGCTCATTACCGAACGTTTTGTGTGGCCTAAAATCAACTCGGATGTTAAATGTTGGACACGTAGCTGTCTCCAGTGCCAACGCAGTAAGACGCAAAAACACACCTACAGTCCAATTGGGAAGTTCCCTATCCCTGACAAACGCTTCCAGCACGTGCATTTAGATTTAGTTGGGCCTCTGCCACCATCAAACTCTTTCACACATATCCTCACCGCAATAGATAGGTTCACAAGATGGGCCATAGCATACCCCATTAAAGACACATCGGCAGAGACAGTGGCTTCAGTTTTCCTCGACCGCTGGATATCCAACTTTGGCGTACCATCAACAATCACAACAGACCGCGGTCCCCAATTCCAGTCCGTCCTATTTCACGAGTTCACTAAACTTCTTGGAGTAAATCATGTTAAAACGACAGCTTATCATCCGGCAGCTAATGGCATGTTCGAAAGATTCCATCACCAACTAAAAAGCTCTCTGATGGCACAACCGGACTCTTCAAAATGGAGCGATGCTTTACCGCTCGTTCTCCTTGGGATTCGCTCGTCAATAAAGGAAGACATCGGATGCACGACCGCTGAACTAGTCTATGGCACGACATTAACGTTACCAGGACAACTGGTCAAGAATGAACCCACAACGCCAGGAGACTCTTCTCGTTTTGTAAGCAGATTACTACAAATGATGCAGAACATCAGAGCAATACCACCTCGAGAATACAACAACCGAGTCCATCTCGATAAACATTTAGAAACGTGCAAATTTGTTTTTGTTCGAGTAGACGCGGTGAAAAAGCCACTGACACCACCATATGAAGGCCCTTATAAAGTAATAAAACGCACTCACAAATATTTCATTATCAACAAAAATGGGAACCATGAGACAATTTCCATAGACCGAATAAAACGAGCTTTCTACGAAGTCCCTCAAGACACAGAAGACAATACTGCGAACAAACAATCACCAACATCTATTACTAAGAAACAAGAGGAAGAGGAAAAACTTAGCACTACACCCTCTTGTTTAACACGTTCTGGGAGACTTATAAAAAAACCAAAGCGTTACGTACATTGTGCCATATAAAAAAACCCAACTAAAACAATCAAAGCAAACAATTATCGAGGACCTACACTATCAATTCCATCTAGAAAAATTTTTTTTTAATAGTGTATATAATTAATCACATTTTCCCACAATTATTCGTTTTGTTACATTATTTTTTCCAAAAAAACTTGTTACAATAATAAACGGGTAAACTCTATTTAATTATTTATTCATTATACACAAAAATAAACAGTTCAATTTTGTTTGTGTGTGTGTGGGTCATTAACAGTTTTACACATTATTATCATTGTTAGCCGAACAAGACATTAAATGACAGTATTTTCATTTTTTTTGTGTGTTCGTTATGCTATGCCACATTATTGCGATTCTCAAACAATAACACACTGCATATCCACCTCCACAACTTTTGTTGGTTATAACTGTAAATATTATTTTTGTATATACATATATATCATATTCTCACATTTTTTTGGTTGTTGTTATTATAACCAGTGTTACCTCCGGACACTCTGGGGGGAGCTATGTGGAGATAAGTCTGACGAGCTTATTTTGTAAATAGTTTTTAATATTATTTGTATTTATTTTGTCAATTTCTCACTGCATGTACATTTATCATTAAATGATTGTACCTGTTGTTTAAGTAAATGACCTTAAAGACTTTTTCCGTTGTGATACTACATAGCGTGACATATCGTTGCTGGTTAACAAATACACTGCTTCTCTCACATTCCCTGTTCTGTTTTCATTCGAGATTGAGTTAACTGAGATCTAAGACAAATATTATTTACATTCATAGACTGTGAGAGCGAATACACCATATCTTACTTTGGATTACACCACTGGGGAGTTCATCGATACGTTTGGAATTACCAAGCGTCTATAATTGTGGATTTATTGTACCAGATTAAAGCCGAACACGCATCATTTTGGGTGAACTTAAGTAAAGTCCCATTTTTATTGTATTTGTAACATTTAACTGATATATATTAATATTACTATTGTTTTTTATTAACTTTGTTGATACTTTTTGTGTTTATATATCGTCTGGTCCACCACAATACTACCGATCTGTTGATCTCGAAGTTGGGCATCTACTGAATCTTTAACCTGGTTCAGCAACTCTCTGCTGAAAACTTTTTCTAGTACCGATAGTAGTGTGATACCTCTGCAGTTCTCACATTTACTCAGACCTTCTTTCTTTGGTATATTGGTGAGGTGCCGTTCTTTCCAGTCTGTTGGTGGCACTTGTTCTTTCTTCCGAATCTTCCTGAATAGAATATGGAGCATCTTTTCAGTTACTTCTGTGTCTGACTTCAGTGCTTCGGTCGGTATATTGTCAGGTAATGCTGCTTTCCCACTCTTGACTTGTCTGATGGTCATCCTGATTTCTTCGATTGTTGGTGAAGTGACATCTATTGGAAAGTGTGTGTGCTGCTTCGATATCCGGTGGATTCGATGGAGCACGTCCATTGAAGAGTTTCCCGAATCGTTCCACACATCTCTTCCTCTGTCCTTGAATTTCAGTGACTGGTTTGCCTTCTTTGTCCTTGACTGGTCTCTCTAGTTTATTATATTTCCGTGACAGGTTCTTCTTTGTGTCATATAATTGTTTCTTGATTGTATGTGATACTCGTTAATTAATCGTCGAATATCATGTTTTCTGGAGAGTGAATCAAATCTACTTGTCTTGAGTTTCGTCTTCGCCATCCACATCATGAGAATCATAGTTCTCTGTGAGAAGTATTAGATTCTTGCAGTTCGCTTTGCGTTGAGTCTTTGAAATCGATCATTAGTTAGTTAGGTTCTTGATAAAAACTACCATTGAAGCAAATAACATTTACTTGGTTTTTATTTGAGAACTACTATAACGTTTGAATAGAAACACAATAACATTTTATTGGAAACATGAAATTTAGAGGAGATCTCTTTTCAACGTATCTATTATCAAGCTATTCTGTAGTAACGGTTAACATAGACTTTGTAAATACTTTTTTGTGGTGTTTGAATGAACTAATGATACCTTTGTACTTGTTGAATGCTCGATTTCGAATTCCAAATACAATACATTAGTTTGTGCTTGTGTCTCACTTCTTAATTCAATTGCGTTAATTCTGGGATTCCTAGTTCATAATACAATTCAAATAATTCAAAACATTATATTTTTGTTTTTCTAATTTTTCATAATTCCACTCAAGAATAAAAAAATATCGAACTATTGTTTTCGATAACTTCTTCCTCAGGCTCTACAGTTATAAATCAGACACTATTTTTGTTACTGTATTACAATAGACAAAAAACTCAAGATGAACCAACCAATTCTATACTTCGGAAATGCCAAATTTCTCGTCAATCAAGTCTTAAATGCTAAATATTACCAATAAAACAAAATAACATCATTGGTAATGTTTAGAAAAGGTCGTGCATAAAGACTCAGCAAAATTATGTGCTTTAAGGTGATGGGTTCTAATCAATAAGTAAAAGTCGAATGTGAAAACAAGCTGATACAAAATTCATTTGTATTGGTTGTTTGAATCTTCTCATTGATGTTTGGCAGGTCTGTTTTAGCATATGTAAATCCTGCCTTAATACTGTCATTAAGTCACAAGCACTTTAAGCAGAGTTGGCTGATGGCTGTTGGTGAAATCCAGGACGCTCCCCCTCTGTTTCACAAGTCAGTGACTACCTGAAGTCGGCAGCTAAATAGATACGAACGGTGCTTGGTTTGAGTCCCGGGGTGGACCACAACTCTAAGATGCAGGCGCATCCGGCTGATGAGTCTCAAATAGGACGGACCGCGCATCTTGGATTCTACTGCTAGCCACCATCCAACATTGCTTATAAAATAGGGGATGTTTTGGCGTAGCATATGTGATCATCATAATAGTGATGATATTAGGAATAATAAAGATAATTATTAATAAGAATGTTAGACCAAATAATGAAGATGCACGTATAATTATGTTTTTCTGAGTAAGATATTTTTTAATGAAATCAACTGTCAGCATTTCCTTCGTTATTGTATTTGAAATGCGTCATGAACTTGAGATGATTTACTCGTCTTATAGTTCAACCTAGCCGAATCCTCAATCGTTCGTAAATAGAATTTGCCGCAGGTCAACCAAAAAATCTCAATGCTTTTTCATGTGAAGATAAAACATTTATTACTCATAGACTGCCTGTTTTAAGTAGTATAATCTGTTGTGAGAAAATTAATTATTCGTTTAATATGATCCTTAGGATGTCTATTCATTACTTTATCTACTATAATGCATAGGTAATGTTTGGATTCGTAACTATGCCGTAAAAGATATACGGAATTAGTTCTGACCACAAGAAATGACACCAGTCAGAGAAGCGATGAAAACCAGGATAGATTTATGTTTTGTTCAAGTTCGGAACCTCTAGGTGTACTGTCCACATAAGACCGCATGTAGGATACAGCTAGGAAACTATGGTGTCGAGGTCGACATAATATTCTATCACCTCATAACAAAAATATAACCGAAAACTAGATCTGTGTATTCACATCTACATGAACTTTCAAATTCGAATGCCACTATAAAGTCAACTACCTTAGAGGTATAGTGGGGATCATTTTACAACTTACGAAAAAATATGCCCTAGTATGGTTTGTAACAGAAGAAATAAAGTCTGTCACATGCTCTGTATAATTCCATATACTCGATGGCAGACAAAGGATTGATAATTAGGAAACCTTTCTTGTTATTCACAAGACAATAAACCACCCATTATAATTTATTTCCTGCAAACTGTTGAAGTAATCAAAGAAGTGAAATAGGGGCTTTGAACAGAGCCATTGGTTGATAGAAAATTTGTGGTTGGTGAGAACTGATATAGTGAATGGCTACAAAATGTATGCCAATCTGCTGACAGAGGTTTTGGTTATATCATAATAATAAGCATACCACACTTGCATTTCATAAATTATAACGAACATTTGCAGTTCAGGGTCAGTGTTTTCAAAACTCTAGGCTGATAAGATATTTTGCTTGCTTAGACTAATCGTTTCTTCTGAAAACTTAGGATGAGAGGTAGTCTCTGAATTTCCTGATGGAGGCATAACTTCTATTGGTAATATTTTGGCTGGTCGATATATACTGAAATCTCAAGTCAACTATTGGAAGGGCATGAAATAAGCACCATCTAGGATTTGTGAAAATAGGGTTTCCGAATGGAGTCCTTAAGATCTTGGAAACCATTGGTTAGTGGTCCTAAATGTTTTCGGTCATAGCAGTGAACATGTTCTTTTCTATCGCTTTTTCTTCGCCATATTAAATTACATAATTGTTCCCCAACTATTAGTGCTTTCCTACATGATCACTTTTATGATTCTCTGTGTGAAGCTATGGCAAATCAAACTAGTGGGTTTTCGAGTTAGGTCGTATCTTTTCGTGATTATTAAGGCATTTGTAAGTGATGTTAGACTACGGATAATACACCATTAATTTGGAATACATGAGCAAAAGTCGGATTGAATTACAAGATCAATTTACAGATGACTTTCCTGGATGCTTTGATATCATCATCACACTTCTGTCTTAGCTTCAGAATGGATTCACAGAGCGAATGTACCAATTAACTCATGGGTATCCTATTCTTTTATGTTACGCAACAGAAAAAGCAAAAAATAGAGATAACATTAGTATTTCTGTTACTACAGCTATTCTATTCTATAACAAAACAGTAAACAATAGTAATTCGGCTCGATGAATACGACATTTATTCTTCCAGGTGTTATTACTATTCCAAACACCACTATAATACAACTACATTTTACAGAATGGAATGGTTCAGTAAATCAGGTATATGAATAGCAATTAATCCAACCCATCAAAAACACTAATGATTTATACTGAGCCTTCACTATTATTCAATAAGCTTGTTTTAACCACCATTTACTTGTGTAGCTTATCTTAACATCGTGTAAAAATTACGTATGAATTATACGTATGTCCAAAGTTAATAACAGATCTTGGGTTTTTGTAGCACTTAACTATTTTGGCATTTCCAAGTCTGAATACAATTTTTGATATGAGTAATGCACTAGATAGTGTTTATTTTATTGTACTATAACAGTAGCAAAGATAATGGCGAATATATCTATGATGTGTTGGTTAAAAGCCACAGTTTATGTGCGAAATGAAACTCATATTATCATTATACAGCATGACAATAAAATATCCTAACGAACAAAAACATAACTCTTTCACAGTAGAAAGTTACTAATATGGTTATTAAAAAAATTACTATAGTGGTGATTTGTACAAATAAGTTGTCAAGTAAACAAGTGAAAACTGTTTTACAAAAATATCCTCATAAATTGTCAAAAAGGAAAAGAAATGCGTAGAAGTTCAAGTAATTATGTACATTTGATAATTTTCAATAAATTTTGACGAAGATAACCATCCGTTTTACGTGACAAAGGCAATACTAATTTGGATAATTGATTTAAAATTCCTGGACCGGTTAGTGAATTTCCACAATTTGCTTTAGCCCATGTATCTGGGAATTCGACTGTCTGACACAAAGTCTCTCCAGACTGTTCATTTGAACTAGTATTTGTTGATAAATGCATAAGCAAATCACTGTCGAAATATGTACGGCTAACTCCAGTCCTTCGTAAGACATCAATACCGTTGGCACGTCCCCTCAATGAAATCTATGATTAACAAATTTATGAAATAAAGATTTTTCCAATTGATAACCTGAATATCTTAGAGTATGACAACGACGAGTAACTTGCGTATGAAAAAATGTTATGTTAACAGTTTATAGAAGTAGTGAAATCTTAATGTGGTCAACAGTTACGTGTTTAGATCAACAGAATATCAATTAAAGACAAATTTAAAAAGGTAAAATATACTAGTAAACATGGAAACTATGGTAAGTCTTAATTTTGAAAAAGAAAAACAAGTTTATCGAAAATACACTTACAATGTCTTGATGTCCTATACCAGCGATGAAAGTTCCAACACACTGAACATAATCTTGTTCATCCGATTTAGTGGCATCTAAGGATAATTTTTGTCCGGCTGATTCAATTAATTCTTGCCATGGCGTATACAAACTGTCGTTTGATTTCTCTGAATTTAATAAATCTGAATTAGCCTGATCAGTTGTATTTTCTGAATATTCTTCTCCGAGCTCAATGGGATCGGCTAAGTCATTAATATCCCAATTTTCTGGACCTGTCATATGTTGTCTAATTTGAGTGGATAAAGCTTCTAAAGAGTCTAGATTAATATTATTATTTAATCTATTTTGATAAGTGCTTTCATCTTTCTCAACTTTCTCAGCAGCCAAATGATTTGAATTAGCATTATTACTATTATTATTGTTATCATTACTGTTATAGGTACCATCACGATTATTTTTGACTGACAATTCAGCTTTACATGTTAATTCATTATTACAATCCAGCGAGGTGTCTGACGACAAAGTATTGATCATAGAAGGAGGGATTATCAAGTGCAATTCAGTATCCGAAACATCTTCACACTTTAATCCATCCAAAAGTTCACAAAGAGCATGAGATGTTTGTAGTTTTCGATCTTTGTCCTTAGGTAGAAAACAAGGAGGATGAGAAGGAGAACTCGAGGGATGATGAGCAGACTCAGTACAAACTGGAATGCTATTGGTTGACTTCCGACTTGGACTACAAGAATCATAAACTTCATTTGTGCTTCGTCGATCACGTTTTGGCAACAGAGGTGGGTGTATGTCTGACTGGGATTTCAGTAACTACGTTTAAAAGGTAAGTTACGAGCAATGTATATATGATAACATGAGCATGAAAGGCAACGAAGTCATATTGTATATATTAGTCATGTAAAGAAAGAATAAAAATGTTGTTAAACACTTATCGGATTAGTGCGTAGACGATTTCCAAGGAGAATATAGATAAACTAGCTATAAATAGGTTAACTATTTACTTTTTAAATCTACAAACGTATTTAATAGCTTGGAATATATGTTTAGTGAAGCACAACCATAGTATACAGTATATGAGAGGCATCATAAAGAATAGAAAACCAACAGATACTTCAAGCACTAATTCCAGTAGGTCGTCAATGACATTTGGATATCGTTGTACGCCAATGGATGACATGTCATACGATTGCTGATCAAGTTCGTTTAGTCTTACACTTACAACATACGAAAAAAGAATATCACAAAGATTATGTGGTTGACTGTTTCCATGATCATTTATTTGGGGATTGGGAATAAAAGTCATAGGTTAAACAACATACATTGATAAGTGAATTTCTAGTTAAATTTCTTACGGAATTATGAGGACATATGATTTTACTAGTCTGAAAAATGTTCTTTTTATATCATGAAGACTAGATAAATGTTTAACAGCACCAAAATTAGAGCTGTGAGGTTTAAATATTTAGTCGTTATGTATTGAGAAGTGGGTTTTAATTCAGTCCCACAAATATCAGTTCGGAAATTTGAGTAGTCTGTTAAGCCGGCACAATAAAAACAAGTCATTGTCAAATACATATACGTGAACTTGGTTAAAGTTCAATTCTACTTAATGTGATTAAATTTAAGTTCATGGTGATTTAGTCTTCCGAGTTGACGCGTCGTGCCTTTGCTGTAAGACTAAATTATAAAGTTCTAAGCTGACACTAGTAAATAAGAATATTGGCACATAAATTCTGATGATTATTTAGTATAGATGACTGGACTATTTAGTCGTTGATGTAGTGATAATGAAAATTATCAAGTTCATCTGAAATGAACAACAAATTTCTCATCAACCTCAAGAGAAACAAATACAATTGTTACAAAACACGTTATATTCCAAAACAGTGATTGATCTGAGCAGAATGAACACTGGATTCTGTATACGGGTGTCATTGTAAAGTCTGAACGATAGATACGTAAAATAAACAAAACAAAAATTCGAATATTGGTTTTTTTCAAAGACATGAGACATCTTATCTAATACGTATATATTACGTATTACATAGTTGAGAGTAATAACTAATAAACACTGGGCATTCAGACAAAAGATGATCAGATATTCCGGTAAATGTGAAAGATGTAGACCGAATCGAGTAAAATTGAGCTTTTATCGCTTAGATTCTTTTACTCTGCCAGTTAGAAAGTTAAATAAACTAACGATTAGAAACGTTAGTATTTCTAGAGAAATCACGAAAGTAGAACACAATACTTACATAACTGGTAAAAACAATTACATTAAACTATTTTTTTGGTGTTACTAAGATGTACTTTCAATGTGTAATTAACACTAAATGATACGAACTACAAGCAAAAAGATAGAATGGTCGTGCGAATTCTTCTAGTTCTGTCATTAGTAGATTGTTCTATGACTAATCTGGAAAATGGTCTGTGAATTTTAATCACATCAAAGATATATTGGAAGTATTTTTATTATTTGTGATTTTACAGATATTCATTACCTACCATGTAGCAACAAAATTTACCTTTGAGTTAAAAAATGGATTAAACTTCCACTTCTTTGGTGTTGAATTAACAAGAAAACCCGATGAGAAAACCTATATTTATCAATGATCTAGCAGACAAACTCTCAAATATGACCACTTCGATATACATTAGTCACTCCAGCCGTTTCTGTACAGCCAGGTACATCAGTCGTTTAATGTGCATTCTAAACGGAACACATGAACACCGTAAAATATGGTTGAAAAGAAAGTAATATGAGGTGCAATAATAGAATACCTTGTCAAAATCGATTGTTCAATTAAAGTAGCCTCAAATCCTCCCTGCTGACCTCTTAGTCTAATCCAATTTACCCGTTTCCAAGATCTTTCTAACCACATTTCACTTTTAAAGTTACTTATTATCGATTTTATATTGTAATTCTGACTTTACTTTTAATTGTTGATAATAAGAATAACATTTGTACTTTTAGTTTCTTGTAGCATTATTTCATTAACGATAAGTATATGTAGCGAACATCTTACAGATTATCATGAAAAAAGTTTATTACGTCGAAATAAAAAATGTCATGGCTAATATTAATCTTTTGGCAAGACAAATTGACGTTGGGTTTAATGTTACCAGAAAACTTTGATTCCAAAACAAACCTTTGGTTGACAGATATAACTGCCAAACATTGTATGGCAGTTATGCGATCGAAATATGGATTAAATAGTTATAAAAGAATGATTCACTATGCCAAAATACGATGATCATCTTTAACTACAGTGACTGTAGATACTTACGTTATTAACTTGTTGACGTGTTGAATGATGTTGAGGTTCATAATTCTCACAAAGTTGTTTTGAGATTTTAGGTGACGGTGATAGAGATTCAATAGTTTCACGTCGATGACTTTCACTTTCGTGTCTTTTTGTGCTATTAGAATCACGTATGTGGCGACGTTCATAATTTTTTGAATAACTAATCTCATGTAAATCAGGATTGTCATCCGGATTATATCTGGGTTTTGCCTTAGCGAGATAAGTCTTTGAGTGAATATGTTGTTTATCACCTGCGCGGTATGTTGATGTTCGTCTAGATTCATATCTTTCCGAGCCACTACAACTTCTTTCACGGTGAGGTCCATGATGTCTTGAGTGAGACCTATGACTTGGGGATAAATGGTGACGTTGTGTTGATTGACGATACCCGTAACTTAAAGTAGCTGAATTATATCGCTTTGACTTTGAAGGTGAACTGACAGATGATTGTGTTCTTTTTACTGAATTATACTTTTCTTCAGGATTAGTTCCATGACCGCTATCTGTGGCCCGTGTAGGAGGGCCAGGTTTGTGATCATGATGTAAATGCATGGATGGCGATCTACTGTTCTGCTCATACCTCTGCCTGTGTAACTTTTCATGAAAACGTGGGTCATGGACGCGGTGCATTTCATGTTTTCCGGAGCGTGTCGGAGATTGGCTAAAAGAAGATGAACGCGAAATATGTGAAGAACATCTAGAAGCGGATGAAGGTGTCCCTGGAACGGGTTCATAAGTATAAGAACGTGGAACAACTTCAAAGCCTTGTTCTTTTACTGAAGTTGGAGCATCTTGGCGACAACTGTCCCCGCAAATGACAGACTTGGTAGAACGATGAGTTATTCCATCCACCATTGACATCTTTGGCGAACCATGAGGTTTATCGCGATGCTTGTGTTTACGGACAGATTCTTTGACAACTGATTGACCAACAGTTACCTCAGAGTTCGCTTCATTATGTTTGCTACGCTTTTCATGCCTTGTTTCACCTTTCGAATGTTTTCGCTTTTTTTTCACATGTTCGCGTTTGTTTTTGCCGAGTGTAATTTCTTTTTCAAGCCCTTCTTTATCTGCACTATTCGGTTGGTTAACATCCGAAGAGAGCTTAGGACTTATAACGACTGAGGATTCGTTTCTATTCTTTGCATGTTTTGTTTTCAGAGTTTTCTCTTTACAATCTGAGTGAGTTGTTTGAGAACTTCTTTTTGAATGGTGTTTGGATTTTTTCGTTACTTCCTTAAGTGAAGTACAATCGACATGTGATTCAGCATCTGCTGGTTTACAGGTCCCTCGTATGGGTGTTTGGTCTTCTGAACAGATAAGTTCCGCTTGTCGGGGCATTTTAGCTTTATTTGGTATCTACATAATGATAAGAGACAATATACACATTAAATCATTGATATTTTCCGAAACCTGTTGTAAATTAACAGTTGACACACATTATGCAGATAAAAATTCACTGCTTCCTTACAGGGTACACTAGATATCACTGATGTTATTGACACTAACACTAAAAATCAGTCTCATAACTAAGGCAGTAAACTTAGAAGACTATATAGTGACAGCAAACTAACTAATTTCGGCCAAGTAACAGAATATTATCCAAATTCCAAGAGACCTACTTTCAAGAAAGTTATAGATGCCTAATCAGGTAATAAAGTGGGAGGTTCGAAACCCGCTCCGTCTACTTCGGTTTTAGTCATGTACAACGTAGAACCTGAAAAATGTGTGTCTGTTCAGATTTCCACATCATATTAACACAGAGAGATAAAATTATCATGACAAATTCCTAAGTAGCAGAAGTGGTAACAGTATTGGCTTGAGCAACCGGGTAGTATTACTAGCCCAAACACGTAATGTTGCTCAAAGCCAAGTACACGAATCTTCACATAGTAAAAGAGAGTTATTAACACAGCTATACCAAGCAAATATAAAATCGAGTAATACAAAAGCCAATAACTTGATTATTTATCAATAAAAAACCTGACTTTTATGGATTAACCGTGAGTTTTGACGCCTGCTGTAACAAAAGTAAGGAAGCGAGATACAACTGAAATTTACGAGTTGATGCAGAAAAGGTATATTACCAAAATACATAAATTCCATGCGCAAAACCAAAATCAGATGGAGTAAGTTTCTATCAAGTCAGTAAGTCAGCTACAACGTAGGACTAGGCACATATATGCATCAGCCCAAGTTGCCATACCGCATTAGCACAGCAAGATGAACACCGGATTCATAAAAGTAGTTAAGTCAATGGTGGTAATATATAAAAGAAAGATTGCATATAGGGATATAGTACAGGAAGAAGGAATTAGTTCATAGAAAGAAAGATATGAAGTGATTTTAATCTCTTAGTTTAAGGGAAGATAGAGAGCGTATACAGCGACGCCATCGTGATAGGTTCTGAGCCATGTCACCAAGAGTCTCCAACCATTGGTTACGATAGTCACGCGGACCCCAACCAAGTAGTCTGCATCTACCAACATGGCTCAGGCTAGAAGTTAGTGTCATCAAGCACTGATGCCACGTTTTGGTTTGGCCGCCCCTAACTTTCTTCCAACCACCTCCAACACCGGTTAGCATTGCGCGTCGGGGTAATCGGTGTTCATGCATACGTAACATGTGGCCTAACCATCTCAGTCGATGAAGATTCACAACCTCATCAACTGATTTATCATCATTCCCTAATACCCTGCGTCTAACCTCGCTATTACTTACCCGGTGATCCCAGCGGATGCCAAAAATATTTCTAAGGCATCTGTGGTCAAATACTAGTAGCTTACGAGTATCTTCTACTCTTAATAGAATGGAACAAAAATGGAGAAAGTGAACAGCTTTGACGGACACCACTTGACGTTACCAAATCAGATGACAGTTCGTCATAAGCTCTGACTCGACTAGTAGTGTTCGAGTAAAGAGCCTTTACAAGGTTTGTGTACTTCTGGGGTACGTCTTTCAATGACAGACACTGCCACAGAATCTCGCGGTCTACCGAGTCAAATGCTGCTTTTAAGTCAAGAAAGACCACCATTGTCAAACGCCGATAAGTATGCCTGTTTTCTAGAAATTGACGAATAGTGAATATGTGGTCGATGCAGCCACGACCGGGTCTGAAGCCCTGACAGGTTCACCCCTGGGATTTTTAAGGATGGCGGCCCAGTATTGGCAGCGAGATTAACTGAGGTCTTAGGTAGAATTTGGGAACTAGACGTAATCCCATCTGACTGGTCTCAATCACTGATTGTGCCAGTGTCTATAAGAAAGGACAAAAGTCCTCTTGTGACAATCACAGAGGAATCAGTTTGACTAATATAGTGTCGAAAATATTAGCTTCAATAATACTTCGACGCCCAACTAAAGCTCGTGAAGAGCAGACTAGAGAAAACCAGGCTGGTTTTCGACCTGAATATGGTTGTATAGACCACATGTTCACACTATGTCAGGTTCTAGAACACAGACACACGTTCAGACGCCCCACAATAGTAGTATTTCTCGACCTTAAGGCAGCATTCGACTCTGTTGATCGTGAGGTTCTATGGCAGTGTTTGTCACTGAAAGGAGTACCAAAGAAGTACATTAACCTTATAAAGGCTCTCTACTCGAACACAACTGGTCGAGTGAGAGCTTATGGTGAACTGTCATCAGAATTGATTACCTCAAGTGGTGTTCGTCAGGGCTGTCCACTCTCTCCATTCTTGTTTAACTTTATCGTAGACGTGCTTTTAGGGATAACATTCTTCATCTAAATTTCCAGGGGTTGAACTTCTACCACAAAATTCACTTGTTGACTTGGAATACGCCGATGACATAGTTCTATTTGGAGAAGACGCTGACAAAATGCAGAGTCTTCTGACCACTCTAAGCAACAATACAAGTATGTTCGGGATGCGATCCTCCCCCTCTCGAAATGTAAAATGTTCCTTCAGGATTGGGTTGCATCGACACCCGAAATTATTGAGGCTAGTATTTTAGATGCTATATTAGTCAAACTAATCCCTCTATGGTTGTCACAGGATGATTTTGACCCTCTCTGATATATCGGGACGATAAGTGATTGTGACCAGTCAGATGGGACAACGTCTGACTCCCAGATCTCAGCTAAAATATTAGTCAACCTAATCGCTAAAATTGGACCACCATACTTAAAGACCTCTGGAGCCAATCCATCTGGACTAACTGCCCTTCCTCGTTTCAGATTAATTATAGCCTTTTGAACTCCGGCTAGAGTTGGTGGACCTACTTCAATGTTCCATTCACACTGTCTGGAAATGTAGGGTGGTTGTAGAGTAGCTGAAGGCCAGTTGAACTGTTCTCTGAAATATTCCGCCCATCGTTCTAAACGTCTGGACTGAGAGCATATGAGAGTGTCGTCTTTTTCCGATATAATCTCACTTACACTTGACTTAATAATTCCAGTTTCTTTTATTAGTCTGTAGAGCTGTCTTGTGTTCCCTATAGTCGCCGCCTTTTCCATCTCTTTTTCTTTCATTGCCCACCACTGCTCACGGTCGTTTCTTGGACTTTTTCTTAACCTAGATCTGATTTGTTGTCGCTCTTCATCATGTTCAGAACCTGATGAGACGAGTTTGCGAGAATCCATCAGTGTGATAGATTTTGAAGAAATCCACTGGTTCTTTGTAACTCTGTGGTTTAAGTCACGAATAGATTTCATTGCTATTTCCACAGCTGCTTGTATATCTTTCCAAACAACATCTGGGTCAGTCCCGTTTTCAGAACCACCTAATTGTGACTTCAGTTGTTTCTGGAACCTACTTTTGGTTTTTTCGCTACTCAATTCAGTTCTAATGGGTCTTGTTAATGTGAGGCTTTTTCGTGTCCAGTGAAGCACAAGCAGATGCGTGCCCGTATTAGGACATGTCGGTGTCCGGATATCTGTGGGATAAGGTGAGGTGTGCATTTTTAGGGTCGACCTTTTCTAACCCCACCCCTCCTTGTGGGAAGGCAGCATCGCTGTCATGCTGGTTGTCTGAAGGAAACACCTTACTGCTGCCGCACCTCTGTACAGTAAGCAGTACGACTTCGCCTTCGAACTCTGAGTTTGTTGCTTCTAGTCTTACCGCTCTTCAACCGATCTGTCTAATATGGTAGGACCTTGAGGAACGATTATCCCAGCCAGTATAGCTCGGTTGCTTCATCACGATAGGCAAGCCCGACCACCACGTCAAGGTAGCAACAACGGTCATTGTGTTTGGACAACAGGCAGCTCAGTGTTAGTCGTCATGTATGTATCTGTACCTTGGTGATCAATATGCATCACAATCCATTTGCAAGCATTCAACGGCAACTGCTAAATTCTAAACCATCCAGATAATTTCTCCAGATCATTTTAAAGCTCTAAACTATCACCTTCACTTATTATCGCCCTCCACATCTTCAAATCGTCAATATATAAAGGACTAGGAAGGTCATTTAAATATAGTAGGAAAAACACTGACCCTAAAACTGTACGCTGAAGCATTCCGCTAAGCAGTTTCCCATATATATAACTTTGAGTTCACCTGTACTTTGTTGACCCTCAACTAGGAAGTTCTTTATCCACATAAATCAATTGCTTTTAATCCGGATATCACTTAACTTTGGTAACAGCCAGTTGTAAGGATCCTTGTCAAAAGCCTTACTAAGGTCAATGTAGGCTACATTTATAGATAAATTTTGATCGAGGTTAGAGATACAAATATTTCAAGCTCCCTAATATTGAAAGTTTGTTTTATCAGTACCCTTTAACCTATTATTTTCCTCCTAGGGAGAAGGGTACAAGCCTCCTTACTGAACCACGGTGGGGAGTTTCTCTGACTCCTTGTAGTCCAAGAAATGTGCCGTACAGTAACTTTTATGTACAAATTTCTGAATACCTCTCAAGCCGTTTCAATGGGGGATTCTGGTCCCGTGGTCCAATCTACTGATGCTGAATGTATAATTTCTCGTGTATTTGCTTTCCAGACGTTCAGTTTGGCTTGGGCTGACACATCTGCGTTATTGACAAGTATAAGGAAATCAAAAACTAGAACTGCATGGTCACTTTTCCCTAGGGGTGACACATAACGAAGGTTTGTGACGTCATTCTTGTAATGGGTCAGTATGAGAACCGGTAAGGATTATTCGGAGTCCGGGTCGTACCTAGTTGTTTCTCTCACATGTTATAAACGCGTCAAATAGTTTTCGTTCGGAAGACTGGGGTAGACCAAGATAATCAGCATCATTCTGCTTTGCATTTCAAGCGGCAACTACCTAATTCACAGGTTCAGCTTTCTTTGGCAACACTAGGTTGTTTCTTATTCTTGATCTATACCCATTCGCCAACTTTCATAGGAGTAGAAATCACAGTCGCGTCACACATACACGCTGACGGATCCAGGATGATTATCGATTACCTGAACAGTCAAGTTGTTTTTCCTGCTAGAAAAAGACAACTCCATGAGTATGTTTTCCAGGCGTTTCCTGCTCGCTGCCATTCGAAAGGCAAGGGACAGAAAAAACTTCCTTTCTTGAGCTTTTATTCCTAACAAACTTCTTTATAGGCCGTCATCTTTCCATTTGCCCACGTAAGTCGATTGACTCAGTCTATGTGAAGTAACTTCATATTAATTTGTGTATCGACCGAGTGAGTACTGTTTGATGTGTCTCGATTACGTCCGCTAATACTTCTTTTAGCAGTACTCACTGTTGTAATGGCCTCGGATAGCAAGCTGTTTACGTCCAAGCAGCACCGCTAACACAATCACACGCGACTATCTTCACCAAACCGTTTGAAAGCTACAGGCGTTAGATTCGTTCAAACTTTATGGCACCATCCTTTGCACTCATCGCACTGTATGCTACTTCCCACAGGGTATCGACGGCTCGCGCGTTAGTAATCGACTGTTAGATCCAAAAATGCAACAAAAAAAGACAAGCACACTTCTAAAAAGTACAGATGATTAGTTACTTTCGAGGAAAAACAATACTCTTGACGCATAATAAACAATCAAAACTGTAAATTTAACTCAGCGAGGAAGAACAATACTGTCCTTTTTAAAGCAGAGGTTACGGTTGTTCAGTGCAGGGAAGCTCTTCACAGAATACTGATCAATGGATAATCAGATGCGAAAGTGACGAAGTAAATTTGATTACTAATCGCAGATACTAACCAACAAAACATATCAACAACATTAGGCACTTTGTATGAAGGGAAGTCAACGTCGTTTTACGAACTATATTCTAGGTTGTTTAGACAACCCTAAATTTATGTTGATGCTACTCTAACAATGTTTCATGTCATCCAGACAGTGTGCCTGACTATTGCATTAGGTGGGTGTAGGTTATCATGGCCTAAGAAACAGAATCTAAGCAGTCTCCACAAATTTATGAACCGACTGGCTTTAGAAAATCATGAAAATTATCAATAAAACCATTATGACTTTAGTAATGGTAAGCCATGCAAAAATGAACTTTATTTGTGGGCTGGTCAGCAAGAAGTAAATGAGATTAACTTTATAGAAGGTTTGGACGAACTTCCTGACACTACGGATATTGGATCTGGAAGACTTAAAGATTGCCAGATACCCACGTAGACAGGCTAGAGATTTCATAGTTAGCAGACAACACAGACTAAGATCATCTAACAGAAGACAACAAATAGAGAAACACACTAAAAGAGACTAAGACGGGACCACTACTAATTGAAATAATTTAACTTGTAAACACGTCCACAAGAGAAAAGCTGATGGGTTTATCAATATAAATGACGAAGAAACAATTTACCGACAAGTTAGTTTTCTTAGTCGCATAGAAACACACAACGACTTACTCTTAGATGTCAAATAGCGACAACCTCAGACAGACTATGCATATGTAACGCATCGGTTGAATAACCCAAATGGTTCAAATGGTTCAAATGGTTGTGGACGGAATAGAAGAAGCTTTCGCTTAACAGGCTTCCGTGTCTAGTAGCAGGGGATCACCAAATCCTCCAGGCAGGAACCTAGGTATGTTAACAATAAAAGAGGAAAAGAAATTGGTAAATCATAGTGCGATGCTGTCCTTGGTCCTTAAGAATAGGTCAAGTTGCCTCTTGAAGGACTCCTGAGAAGTCGCTTGGACTAGCTCGGCCGGCAGCGAGTTCCAGCTTTTGACAACTCTTAAGGAGTAGAAGTTGTGTCTACATTCCGTCTTGCTATGTTGTGTTTCCAGTTTCTGGGTGTTACCCCTTAGGTTATTGTTCGAACTAAGCTTAAGTAGGTGTTTAAGAGGATGTCCAGAAGTGTTAAGAATACTATAAGCCATTAATAAATCACCTCTAAGACGCCTATATTCTAGTGGGTAAAGGTCTAGTGAACAGAGGCGTTCTTCGTAAGGCTTAGATTTGAGTCCTCGAACTGATTTCGTGGCTCGCCGTTGGATACGCTCCAAAGTGACCTTATCCTTTTGGAGTGAGGGGGGGAGTATTATGTTTCCGTACTCTAAATGGGGACGGATGAAACTATTGAAGATTGTATGGAAAGTTCTTCCGTCAAACTGACCAAAAATGCGCCTCAACGTTACCAGTGCAAGGTTTGCTCGGAAGGCATTTTTGTCACAGTTAGCGTAAGACTTTAAGTCATGGGGCACCAGGACTCCTAAATCTTTTTCGACTTGGGATACTACTAGAGAGGAGTTTCCTAAGTTGTAACTGTAGTTTGCGACATGTCGCAGATGGACTACTTTACACTTTGAAGTGTTAAAGGTAAGTCCGTTATCGTCTGCCCAACTTTGAAGTCGAGTCAGATCCTCTTGAAGTGCCTGTATATCGTCTTGGTTGCGTATCTCTCTCCAAAGTTTCACGTCGTCGGCAAAAAGTAATAAGTCTGACGTTACCTGTTGAGGAAGATCATTTATGTAGATCAAGAAGAGAAGAGGCCCTAGTACTGAGCCCTGGGGGACCCCACTAGGACATTCCATAGCTTGAGATAAAGTGAAATTAACCCTAACCTTAAAGTGTCGATTTTTTAGGTATGAAGTAAGCCAGTCGATTAGAGGTGGTTTGATACCTAGTCGTTTGAGCTTGTTGATAAGACACAAGTGGTTAACCTTATCAAAAGCTTTTGAGAAATCAAGGTAAATGACATCAACCTTTCCCTTGCGATCGAGGATGCTTGTCCATCTGTCCACCGCAGTCAGCAGGTTGGTTATACAAGAGTAACCCTTCCTGAAACCATGCTGTTGGGGTGAGAAGAAATTTAAGGACAGTAGGTAGTCATTTAGACCGTCGCATATCAGGGACTCCATGAGTTTTGAAGGTAACGACAGAAGAGCCACCGGCTGATAACTTGAAGGTTCATTGCGTCGACCACCTTTGAAAATTGGTGTGATGTGAGCCAACTTCCAATTTTCCGGTAGTTTGCCTCGGCTAAGCGAGTGTGAAAACATCACGCTAAGCGGCGTTGCCAGGATTGAGGCTGCCTCCCTTAGTATGGCAGGATGAACCATATCCGGGCCAGGAGAAGTGTCAAGTCTTAAGTGCTGCAGTTTCCGGAACACCAAGTCAGCGCTTAGGTCCACTTCAGAAAGTCCTGTGGAATTGCAGATGAAACTGTCGTCGATAAAGTTGATATCAGCCGGTTGAAATGTTTGAGAGTAATGGGCCGCCAGAAGGTTGGCGGCGTCGCCATCGTTGTTGGTCGGGCCGTTAGGTCCTAGCAGTTGAGAAACTCCTGTTTTGGCTTGACGAAGAGAGGCTGCATAACGGAATAGGCTTCTAGGGTTAGAGGCGAATTTGTCCATAAGCTTTGTTTGGTACTGAAGCCTGTCTTCTCTTATAGCCTTCGTGCATGTGTTCCTGATATGTTTGTATTGCCTATACGCTCCATCGTTATCAGTTCGTTTGTATTCCGCCCAACAGTGCCGTTTGCGGCTTAGGAGGCGAAGGGTACGGTTCTTGATTACTGTAGGTGGCTTGAAGCTTTTGGGAACCGTTTGAGGAACTGAATGGTCTGTAGCACGTAAGAGCGTGTGCAGCAAGAAGTCCCAATGACCATCCACATCGATTTGAGGGTGAACATCCCAAGCCACCTGTTGTAGATGGTCATGTAGAGCTCGCACATTCAGCCGTTTAAAATTCCATCGCAAATTATTGTTGGGATACCTTAGCTTAGTTTTGATGACAAAACTGAAGGCTATGACGGCATGATCGCTTTTTCCCAGAGGAGCCAGGATTGAGAGGTTGTCGACTAGGAATTCTTCGTTAGTGAATACACAGTCTAAGCGCGATGGTGTCTGACTGTTTCTCCAACGAGTTGCCGACCTCACATTTTCATATAAGCCCAAGTTATCGATGAGGTTGAAGAACCGAGCTTCAGTTGAGTTGTCGCCTCCAGTGTACGTGTGTTCCGCGAAGTTGACTCTAGGGAGATTAAAGTCCCCTAGAATCAGGATGTGTGTGAAACCGAGACGGATAGAGCGGGATAGTCCTTCCAGCATACGACTATCGTACTCGGTGTCGGCAGTTGGCTTCCTGTAAATGACTCCGACTAGACACCTGGAAGTACTAGACAACCTTACAGAGCACCATATGGATTCCTCAAGATTGTTAAACTCGAGGTTGTGAACCTGGTGCACCTCCTAGCAAGAGCTAATGTATATGGCTACTCCGCCCCCAATTCCTATTTTTCTGTCGTTGCGGAACAAAGTCATCCCAGGTAATGCTAACTCTTGATCCGAGAACTCAGAAGATATCCAGGTTTCAGATATTCCTATCAGATGGGCCTTGCTAGCGTTGCTAAGTTCACGTAGTTCATCCAGTTTGTTTGGTAAACTCGCGGCGTTCGTATATAAGCAGTTTATGCTTTCAATTTGGAACGCATGAGCTTCGTCCTGTTTTTCTGTATGAACCTTATGTGAATGGACAGGTAGCCCACCTATATGAGGTTTGCCGAGGTGGTAGGCCCTGTCCTTTACACGTTTTTTTTATCGTTTAGACAGTCCACAAGTGGAATGGTCAGCTCCAGCTTGCCTTTGTTCTTGGTCCTGACTTCGTATGGCCTATCCGGGTGCATGTGGATTCCAGGTGGCAATCGACGTCTATTAGCACGAAATGCTTCCAGAACTGCAGCCGCCATGTGGGAAGATGGGAAGGTTATCTTCATTAGACGGGGTCTAAGATCACCGTCCTTCTTGGCTAGTCTCGTCACATGCTGAGTCAGTATGTGTTTGAGCCTCAAGGACTGTTTGATGAATTTCCATTCCCTGATGTCAGAATTTGATTGAGTAGGGTCTGCATTTTCCGGTATACCTTGGACAATTATGTTTCTTCCGCGGAAGAACTTCTCGCGAGATTCTTTAGGGACATTTCGTATGATATTGCGCTCAGAGTACGGTATGTCGGGCAATATTCTTACGTTACCATCTGATTTCAGTAAGTGACTTGCTAGCAAGACGTCCTCTACGTCGGTAGCATCCTTAAGTGTTACTCGGAGAAGCCTCGGGTGATTTAGATGCTTAGAATCCTTTCCTCGAGTGAGCCGGGTGACCGTCAAAGGCTCTATTCTAGGAAGTTCGAGCTTTTTGTTCAATTCACCCCACAGCATCCTGTCGTTTTTATCCTGCAGACTGAGAGGAAGGTCAGGATTGTCGACGAGGTTCATGATAATGAGAGAATCGTCACGAACTGTTGTTAATTTACCAGGTTTCACGATGGGTTCAGGTTTAATAACTTGTTTTTTGGAGGTCAGTGCGCGTTTATGAATCTTGGGCTCTTTATTGACCGGACGAACAGTCTTGGGGGTAGACTGTGCGACTAAATCACCAGTTATTTTCCGTGCAGCAACACTTGGGTTGCTCGGCTTAGGCGGTGATGCCTGGTTCTTTTGGGCTCTCTTAACGTGGGTCGAATCGCCTGCAGGGTTTTTGGGAACCACTGTTGTGTTCAGCGACCCTGAGCTGGGAGACCCGAGTTTGCCTAGGGAGTCTAGTACCGTCGACGTAATGATGGTACTGAGCCTCGACACGTCGTCGTTAGTGTTGATGGATGCTCCATCGATGACATACCTATCGACATCCCTATTTTTGAGTCCGTTGCGCGCTCTTGTTTGTATATCGGTTTTTTTACTGTCGTGTTCCAAGTTAACTGACAGCTTGTTTCGAAGACCTGTCAGTAGGACAATGATGTTACTCAGCAAGACTACTGCGTCCGTGTTGCACGTGACACATACCCACTTTTGGTCTGACTTGCTGAGTTTGTTGTAAGCAGTTGCTGTCAGATTTGTGCATGCTTCGTGAAACCAACCTTTGCAGTTGTCACACTGCATGCCAGTTGTGACAGCAAAACGGCATCCCGGACGTTTGCATGAGTTTTTCATGACGGTGTTGAAGCAAACTATGTTATAGATGCTGGCAAAAGCTTAAGACCTTTTTTAAAAAAACACTAAAATGCACACTGAAAACGGACAAAAACGGACAAAACGAGTGATGTAAACTGAAACTAGTCTATACGTGAAAAACAAAAAAAACCGAATAGTAAGCTGAGGCAAAACCACAGGTAACTATTAAATATAGTGAAACTCAAAAAAAAAGTAATCTACCGAACGTATAGCTCAGGATAGATTTTTTAGAACTGAAATGGTACTTTTGTTGCTTAAGAACACAGCAAAAGTTTGATATATGCAAATCACGTTAGGACTAAACTTCCCGTTCGAAAATCCTTCAGATGGTTGCGACAAAATAGAAAGAGCTAACAGTTGACAACTTTCTAATCTAGAAGCAGCTTATAATCAGTCTTCAGTAATAAGGACAGGAGGTCTATCAACCTATATTAATGCTTGCAGTTTGTAATACTGTGGAAGTCCAATTTCGTTTTGAATATATTAACAATTTCTGGCGCGCTATTTAAAAAAGAC